TATGCCAAGACACCCCGATGGCAACGGGGTCGTGAAGTTGGATTCATCCCACGCACATTTTTAGTTTTTCCAAACATATATTTTTGGGTGAAGGGGTCTGTAAAAGTGGAGAAATGTGCCATTTTTCCACCTCACAAACTAGTGGTTTTTTCATTTTTATCAATTACATTCGCAGTAGACGCCGCCAATAAAATCCCAGATAAATCGAGAGATATCGGTCGTTTTGAAGTTATACTTTCATAAAATAAATTGGAAGGTCTAAATTTCCTATCAATTGCAATGAAAAAAGGAAAAACGTCAATTTTGAGATGATGATACCCAATACATTCTGAGCTCAAAACCGTGATCAATGGGCAGCCATGTTCAGTTCACGTGGGCAAGGAACATTATGTTGCACATGCGCATAAAACAATGTCTCGCTGAAACTACGTGGGGTACTTGTTGACAGGTTTCTGCTGGCTGACAGGACTTTTCAGCAGATTTGTAAGTGCATTTTGTAGTGAATTCGACTTGGACTTGATTCACTATGTTTGTAAACTTGACTCCAACACAGTAATGAAAAGAGTCTCCTCAAATCTTTTGCATTTAGCGTGGTTAATCAAAAGATCCTTTTTTGTGATGTAGGGATGAAGGAGCATTCTTTTGCAACAACTTCAATTTATCAATTTATATTTTAATGACGTTGTTCTGTCTCCTTTAAAATTTCAGGTGATCAAGGCCTTACCCTAGTGCAGATATCGTGTACAAAATTCCTCTTTACCGGGGTCATTGACAGCAAATGCCACGATTGCATTATTTCTGGCATAATTTTGACATAAGTTGCGGTCAAACGAAAGGATTCATGAAGAGTTGATGTACTGGCATTTCCGTCAATTATCTTCTTGAAGTTAGCAAAATGTACCCCAATACCATTGTTGAGTATTATGGAACCAGAGCCACCAAGGAATGACATTTGCCACTTGTTGCCCGCTTTGTGGGGATCCATGGTGTTTTGTAAACCTGGGGAACGGGGAAAATGGAGCCTGGGGCTTGAGTGCTACTCCCCCCCTCTGATGTAAGCTAACGGACCCGTTAGGCATGGTCAGGAATTCTTACAAGTAAGAAGGGGCCCCCATGGAGGGATTCTGGAAAGAAACATTTCAAAGTAGACATACGCACAAGCAGAAAACTGTGAATGTCTGCTTGCAGGTCCCTGCCTGAATCATTTAGCAAAGAAATACTTCGCTGGACAACACAGGGATTACAGTGATATTGATGGTGTTTTAATTCACTTAGATCACGAACACAAGTTCCTCACTTGGCATGATAAAATGACAGCATATGGATAGAGTCAGCAACTTTCCAACTCTTCATGAAGCAAGGCGTTGATGTAATGAGAAGATTTTCCACTAGTACTCATCAGGTGCCACTTCCCAAAGTACTGTTCGATTTATGTAGTAAATCTGACGAGTTCTTATCTGCGATGGATGGTACAAATCTTATCGTTTTGAGAAAAACACTGAGCAAGCATGCACCGTCAATCAGCTTTTGTTATTCGTTTTCACTTATACGTATTTGAGTGTGAGACAAACAATTATTATCCAGGTTGTTCTGTTGACCTGTTGTATTCGATGGTTGAGAGGTTTTTCACCATAGAGCAATTTTGATATCCTGGACATCACCCATGATTAGGATAAACTTACAATTTCCATAACACAGATATGAAATTGGCGCATTTTAATGATTGTACCCTACGTATATGTCCCTCCATCACGAATTCCACATTATACTATCGCAGGGGGCAAGTAGAATAGGAAACCGGGTTGCGCTTTATGTACAAATAGACCTGGTTTATAAAACTTGCAATGACCTACTGAGTATAATTGAGATATCAAAGTATGTTTTATTGGAATTGATTATTACAGTTAAAGCAAATGTTATAATAGGATTTGTCTACAACCCCCCCCCTGGTGTGCCGAGTAACAGAAATTGTCTATACAATTTTGTCGCTCATACCTAATAAAACAAAGTGCTAAATCACGGGTGATCTTCATATTAACATAATGGAATATGATACTGACAACAGTGTACAAAATCTCACCCTTAGACTGTTGAGACCATTGACAACTGAGCAGTGTTAACTGAGCAACACTCATAGACAATATTTTAACCAATGATCTTGCAAAAAATTCATCACGACTGATGATACTGATCATCCTCAAGTGTTCCTAGTTACAAATAACAAATAAGAAAGTTCTATATGCAGAATTGGCAGAAAATGAGTAAAACGTAGCTTTAATGACACTTATATCGAAAATTTTACTAATGATTTCAAGACAATTGAACTGGAATTATGTTACACCAATCAGTGATATACTCTATGTATGATTTCTTTTCAGTACTAGTTCAACAACGATATTACAAAAATTTTCCACTACTAGATTTTATGATAAGAATAAAATCTCCGTGTTTATCTAATGCCATTTACAATTCTATTTTCTGTAAAAACCATCTACATGTACAAAGAAAATTCTTAAGGATCCCAACTGATGACCTAAATTCATTTATCAAACAGGCAATGTATTCATTAGCAAAGGTTCTTGCAGATATGTTGAATAAGTGTTCGACAGCTTGAGTATATGCTGATAAAACCGATCTACTAAACGGGATTTACCCACAACAGGACTCACTGCAGACCAGTATCAATACTGTGTAGCCTATGTGTAAATTATTTGAAAGACTTACTTGCTAGAGAGTAATATATTTCATTAATGATAACAAGATTCTTTCTGAACCAGAATTTTAATTTAAAGTCAAACGTTCTTCAAAACTAGCAGTATATTAGGGAATTAATAAAATATATAGGGGGATTGATCAAATGTCTCCTTAGGGGTATTTCTGGATTTTTCTAAAGATTTTGAAACTTTAATCAGTGAATTTGAGTATTATGGTGTGCGAGGAACAGTGCTGGACCTTTTGGTAACAGACAACAATGTTATTTGTGTAAATTCTACCAAATGAGTCATTACCTGTGGAGTATAGGTCTGTGCCGGGCCCTCAACTCTTTAATCTCTGTATCAACGACATGTAAACCTCAGATTGTATTGTGAGGGATGTCATGCATGTTGCACATATAATTGCGAGTATGCTGGTGTGTAGCAACAGCGCCATCATGCGGTGGCAGGGGCATTCCTCATGTTTGCCGTCGCCTCCGCTGTTGGGCTGTCTACTACTGAAATTAAATAGCAATAACACCAGCAGAGATCCGAGCCCAGGGTTGTCTGGTGTGTCTATTCATGCGCTCCCTGCACCAGATAGCGCCCCTCCCACAGTATGACATTCTGTTCACTTGCCGGTAATACGACCTTGTGCACTAAGTAAATGAAGCAAGTCAAAACCTTAGTTTGGAATTTACAAAATTGGTAAATGGCTCTTTGCTAACAATTTATGTATGGATGCCCTAAAATCACATTTTATTATTTTACATTTTGGACCAGTCATACAGATACAAGTATTATTGAATAATACGATGTTAAGTAAATAAAAATTGAAAAAAGAATTAGAAGTACTAATTTTGGGGGTATTACTATTGATAAAAATTACATGAAAATATATTGATGAACCAGGGAGAAAACTCAAGAATTTTGGTATCATGAATCGTCTAAGATATATATATTATCCGGGTAATATTTCATTAACATTGCATGACTCTGTCATATCACCTTATTTAAATTGTTCCATGTTAACTTGGGGCTGCACGACATGCAACCTTAACAATTTACTCACTTTCCAAAACGGGCGGTCCGTATCATTTGGACTGCTGGTCATCGAGATTTATTCTGCTTCTTTCCAAAATTACACTTACTGCAACGCAACAGAGGAACGTTTGAGTACTCTCAGGCTAACGCAGAGGGCGCGCAAGGTGCTCCCCGCGATCGTTCGTGTAATATGACACCCGTGGGAATTCGGTTTGAACATGCTCATTATGTTAATGAGGAACTCCCGCGACGCGTCGCGAGATTTCAGAAAAGCAGAGCGCCCTTATGGGATTGACACCGTTGCTAGCGGGAAGCATTTCTTAAATTTTTGAAGATGCAATCGAAATTTTATTCGTTTAAAGTTGGCGGGAAACTAAATTCCCATGAATAAACAGTATATGCAAATGAATCCTATTGACCAATCAAAAATATATTCACAATCACAACCAATCATATCGAGCGCTGGACCCGATTTGGACGGAGGTTTGCCAGGTAAGTTGGCACCAATTTTGCTATAAAAGTCTAGTTTCTTAATAACCGCTGACAAAAACAAAAGAAATTTATTCCCCAAATTAACTTCTCTTTCCTCTGAAACCGCATTTTTTATTGCAATATATTAGATATAGACTTTTTCAGAATTTGTTACCCCATCAACTGCCCACAATACGAAATCAGCTAAAAAAAATTCTTGGCTTGATGTTGCAAATCTCGTTTGGCTTTTGACGCGGATGTGTTAAGGATTATGCACAATGTTTAGGTTGAAACGCTAACTCACCGTGTGCGCTCACGACAAAGCACCGTGAATCGCGGTGCAATGTCGGTGTACTTGCACGCGCTCAACACGGTGCTTTGCACAATTCAGCGCTTCATCACGGGCCTCTTAATATACATGTATAAGCAACACGGTAATCGGTAATGTTTGTGGGAACTATAGTAAAGGAATGAAGAGTCGAAGATCAAGCAGATAGCCTGTTTAGGCTAGGAATAAACGTCAAGCTCAGAAGCCTTAGCATAGGCTTGCCTGAGATCTGTTATCACAGAAAAAGGGCCCAGCTTAACTTGCTCAACTTAAGTTTCAGCCTAGGCTTATGCCCTACCTTTTAATCAGCACTTTGGAGATTAAGCTTGTGCCTAGGACCGAAGTTATGCTAGGCATAGCCTTGGAGGCTAGGCTTGACGTTTAACCATCTTAAGTAGGCCTAACTCCCCTTTTATCTCGGCATCATTGCAACAGGATTAACAAGTTAACTCTAGGCCAATTAATTAAAGTGCGTGGAAATTTATTTGCCAGCACAATTTTACTTTTCTGTCGCAAAACGATAAGGCACACCATATAGTAAGTCACCGTAGGCCCTCGTAGTACTAGTAGTAGTAGACCTATGCCTTGAGAAGTGAAGTTGAGTTGAAGTTGAGTCAAGCAGGCTGAAGTAAAGAATTTCATCATTAGATTTACATAGATGATTATGAAAAGTACAAAGCAACCAAAATCACACATTGTATTTTAATTCATTCTTTAACAGACATGGAGATGAAATAAACAATTCAAAGAAGGAACATACATGCAAAACAAAGGTGGACACTGAAAAGTGCAGTGCTTATAAAAGACATCTAAATACATGTATTAACATTTTTACAGCAAAAAAGTCATAAAGAAAGAAAAATTTTGTGAATCCCAATTCATTTAATTATGTATTTTTTGTTTTCATAATACTTAATAACATTCCCGGTTACAACAAACTTTCTGGTTTCTGCGACTTGTTATAACAGAGTAAAGGACAGGGGTTCTTTGCATGAGTTCGTTTCAACATTTTCAGAGATATAATTTCCTGAAAACACAATTGTTTTCTATCTCTCCTTTGTAATTCCAGTTCCTTCAGCGAAATGGACAGCCATCAAGTGATATTAGATAAGTTATGTAGACTCTGTGGGGGGCGATGTCTGTCATCAATGGGGCAAGAAGTGGTAAATGTGCCAAACTGTGTAGTGCGAGTGCCGAAAAGATCATGGCAACATTTCACATTGATGTCAGCAAAGACAAGTACATTCACCCCCGTTATATGTTTCATTCTTGTTATTGTTCACTGTTTGTTTCTGCGGTAAAAACTGCCCCTAACTGGCCAAGTCATCCCGGGCTGGGTGCCTGCCCTGTATATACAAAGTTTGTCCAACAGTCCAAGCCAGGAAGAAAGAAGACTAAGGTAGCATCTTGTAGTCGGCCACGAGCACCCCCCGCATACAGAGAACATTTCCTTAGCCTCCCCCCTCCCCCACAATCTCCAGGGATAGGATCCCCCAATTCGAGCCATTGTCAAGCACTGCCCCTGTGGAATGTAAACTGTGCACCATGTTGCTTGACAATGCCCTGGAGACTCCTTGCACGCACTTGTTCTGTCGTGAGTGCTTGGCAGTGCACTTTGAATCTTATGAATCACCCACAGTTCCTTGTCCCGACTGCCAAGCACCTGTACACTTCAAGTATGTCACCGCCCCCCATAGCTACTTTGCATCCTTATTTCTGAGCCTGGTGATGAAGTGTACAGCATGCAAGGAGAGCGTTACTGTGGGGGATGTCAGTTCACACATTTACCAAACACATAATAAATCTTCTGTTGCTATTAACCCATCTTCTCTTGTGTTTCATGATCATTCTTATGCGACGTCTTGCGAACCTCTGAGTGCAGTCTCCCGTCTTCTTCAGCGTCCCCTGACTGCCCCTGTGACCCCGTGATGGAAGAACTGGGAACCCACATCTTGAAGACCAAGCTGGCACAGTCACAGGATGGATTGACAACACAGTACAGAACCGGTGGCCTGGTAAGATTTAAAACTGCATATACACGCCTTTTAATACATATACATGTAGTTTAGTATAGTTTAAAGCATCTTTGTCATATCATTAAATAAATTTTACTTCTGTTATTAACAGCCTCTGACGACACTTTGTGTTCCCCAACCTCAGAAGAGCAGTGGGGCGGCATCCTCCAGCACCATCTGACAGCGTTCCAAGATTCTTGATACCACCAGAGGTCTTGTCAGCATGGATGACAAAGAAATGCAGCAAAAAGATGAGCTCAAGCTCTCTTCCCTGCGAGAAAATCTGCAGGGAATCTTGCAGGACCTGAAATTAAACACCATCAGGATCCCTGCCATGAAGATGTTTGCTGCAAAGTTTCACCTCGGAATCTCTTGGACACACATCAGGGAATTGAAGAAATGGTTGAAGGGCTAGAACATCTTAACTGAAGGTGAACAGGCCATGCGTCACCAACAACATGACGTAATAGCCGACAACCTGTTCGCTGAAAGCATTCCCTTTTCCTTCCCTGATGAAATCAACAGAGGAGTCACCATCAAGCAAGCCCCCGCGTTGGTGTGAAGCCCCTCGTGCCCAAGGTCACACAGCAACTGGATGAGTATGAGAAGTAAGAAAAATAGTTTCATTGTACATTTGTGCTACACAAAGAAAGAATTAAAATAGACACCTGCACTTATATGCATTTATCTGTACACATCTTTATATTGCAGGCATCAACAGCTCACTTGGCACAAGGGCACCATCCCACACAACGAGGTTTGGGTGAAAGTCGGAGGTGACAAGGGAGGCGGGACCTTTAAACAAATGATTCAAGTCGGCAATGTTGAACGTCCCAACTCTCTTAGGCACACCGTTGTTGTCTGTGCTTTTGCAGCGGGGGACACGAGTGACAACCTGAAGACGGGACTTCAACGCTTCCGCCAACAAGTTGCTGCACTCCAGTCGAGCACTTGGAAGAGCCATAACATCAGGCTCTTCATGTTCGGGGATTATGAGTATCTCTGCCGAGTGTATGGGATCACCGGAGCTGGCGGTAAATAACGCTTTTTGTTTCAATTCTGACTTTAAGTCAGAATTCTGACTTTAAGTCAGAATTGAAACAAAAATTCTTGTGACTAATTTTCAACTGCATGAAATTCCTGAAAACTTACAGTATTTTTAAATTCCCTAAAACAGGCCGTCACTGTTGCCTGTACTGTAGCATCAACAAGGACTACATACGGCTGCCCCGTGGAGAAAGACCACCATCCCAGCAGAGAACTCTGCAGTCCCTGAACCAAGACCTCCACAGATTCAAGGCAGCTGGTTCCAATATCTCCAAGGCCAAACACTTCAACAACGTGATTGACGAGCCAATGGTTGCCATCCCATTGACACAGGTATTAATTTTATTTCATAATATTTGGTTTGTAGTTGATTGATGTTTTTTTAATGAGCGTGTAAAATTTAATTTACCTTTTGCACTTGATTTCTATGACAACAGGTCTGCCCACCCGGGCTTCACATTAGTCTCGGGTTATACCTCAAGCATTTCAACAGCTTTAAAGGGGCATGCCACGACCTTGATATGCAAGCGGCAGCTGTGCTAACCGAGAAAGACCAAGACGATCATGATGCTCCGGCTCTTGGCTCTGGCTACCAAAAGCTCATCTCCGTGTTGAAGGTGGCCCGGAAGTTAGAACAGCAGGCAGAGGCCTTGGATGAGGAGTTCAAGCTAATGGAAGACCAACTGACCGACACCATCTTGACATCTGAGGAGGGAAGTGCAAACATGCAGGATTACATCACTGCAACGACTGGATTGATGCAGCAACGAGAACAACTGGTAACAAGAACTCAAATTTATCAGTTATTCCCGACTAAAATTAAGTGAAAACGATAAATAAATTAATGAGTAAATAAATTTTTTCAATGCAGTTGGCGGAGGCTGCAACCCTAAGGAAGAAGGCCGCGCTGAAGCCAGGGCAAGGTCCTCTAGCTGGTCAACTTGACATCACACTCCAGGAATTCCGGGTGCAGCGCTAGGCCTACCATGGGAAGAGCTTTGTTGGGAATCATGTACATAAATGCTGCAAGGTTTGTGTATTGAATTTTTTGTGATACAAAGAAACATAAATCCCATAAATGGAGTTCATTATACCTAATGAACATGTGTATTACCTTGTATTTAAACTGCAGGAAGAGAACATCAAGCGACTGACGGAGGCCATCATCAACAAGACCCAACAAGTATGCCCTTCCCTGGTGCCTGAGGCAAGAACGATCGCTGCCAAGTACGCCAAACTTTTCCACCTGTTTGGCACTTGTCACCGGAAGTATAACACCTCCTCAATCCTGGATGACCAAGCTGTAGATGCACTAGACCAGGACAGCAAGAACTACCTGGAATTCTTCCGGGCCGCGTTTCCCACTGAAACTGTTCCGCCGAAGATGCATCTAATTGAGGACCATGTCATCCCCTGGATCAGGCAGTGGCACTTCGGCCTAGGGTTCCACGGCAAGCAAGGAGGGGAGTCGGTCCACGCCCATCTTAACTCCCTGCGTTGTGACGTCCGAGGACTGCGAGATGACGAGGACATTCTCCAGTCTGTCATCCGGACGCACTGGATTCTCACCAGCCCGGCTCACGCACCATCATCTTTGTTTGAATAAAGAACTCTAGTGAATAATTTGAACTGTGAAAGAACTCTAGGCTGTTCCTGCCCCAACATTCTTATTTTTGTACGGAACTCTAGGAAATCTGTGGACTCTGATGAACTCATTTGGTGCTTTCTGTGTAAAATTTAATGTTGAGTGCCATCACTCAATTCTGCATGATCGGCTTTCGTTGATGTATGATCTACTGATAATTTCAACTTCTGATGATTGCCGTCGTAATTTATAATTTATGGTTGCAAAAAATCACTCTTACATTGGAAGATTAAGCGTTGATTTCACCAACAACGCAATGCAATCACACGATCCTGTTGAATGACTGATTGCACTCAACATAAATTCTTCAGGTAAGTAACAGGTTTGTGTGTATGCATAACAAGTGTTGTTTTCACAAATGTACAGTGTAAATAAAATGTGCAGGTGTACAGTGTAAATAAGTTATGAAGTTGAAATGTCACAGTTTCATGTGAGTTTCATGCTGAGAGACTGAACAATGTTCATGTATGTTTGCATCTCACATATAAAGCGGCTTCTACTTTCTGCCTCTTTATTTGTGGTATGCAAATGCATTACATTGTTCAGTATCCTGAAGTTTATTGTTTTCTAGTTGAATGTAATTTTTTTTTAAAAAGGTGAGTATCAAATTTATGTTGTGTATTCTGCAAAGATTTCTGTATTGTTTTAATAATGCTGCAATTTTAGATTTCAAGCACGGGCACTGTTTATTCAAAAAAGTTTAACCTAATGAATAAATTTATCGTGTTTAAACTAATTTTATGTAATCAAAAAAGTACATTCTTTTGACATTATTTCGTAAAGTAAATTGCATTATTATTCATATGATAAACTTTAAACAGAATATCACTACATGTATTAACAGCTCAAATTCCTTATAACTGTATAACAGTAGTTAAAATTAAGAGATTTGAAAGTCTTACTCATTTAGAATTGTATAGCGAAAATACAAAGAGGGACTAGGAAGTAGGACTTTTAAATGAGATTCCTGCACATCACCTTTATGTAATTTTTCTGCGAATAGCATCCTTTATACCTTTTAAATGTATAACAGAAATATTTCAAAAGTTTAATCTTGTGCTGAAAAAAATTAGTTGAGTTGAAAACTCTTAAAATATCTACATGTATTTCACATTTGTAGTACATTATGTAGTCAGTAGTGGATAAATTAAACATGATTTAAGGGATTGTTAATTATTCTAATGCTAGTAATAGTATGCTATGTATGAATAGGTTTTACCCTGGTATTTCGAATTAGTCTTAAGTAGTGTAGCGGCTATATCAGGTTAAGTTTAAATTACCTATTAGGTCACTTTCCACCTGTAGTTTCAAAGAACATTTAGGTCTACCCCCATCACAAAGTTGACAAAATTTCATTTGCAGTGTTTTATGAACAGTCGTGCATTTATCAGTGTATGATGTGGGAGCGGCACTGTGGGTTGAGTAGTTGGTTTCTCTTAACTACTAGAGGCTAATTTCATGATATTTAGTCTCATGACTTCACAAGGCCAAGAGTAAATGGTATCGTCTTGAACAGCCAATTTTCCATATGATTTTCAGTTTTGCAATCAAGACGACACAAACAAAACCCTAACATGTGCATTTATTTTCTTTTCACAGGTTGTTTGCATGTTGTTTCCTTACTTAACTGCAATAAAATATGAAAATTGGGAAAAGGTTATTCTCTTTAGTCATGTAATAGTCTGCAGCAGGGTGTACATGGTAGAGAAACACAAAAAATGTCAAGAGTTAACATGCCTTTAAGTGATGATTGTACATCACTATCAGGAAGAGTTCCACAAACGGACACCAGTAATTATTTCCTACAGTGTCCTATTAGCCATCAGAAAGCAAAAATGAGTCCAGAAAATTTCAATTTAGGAGGGGAAAAAACCAAATTTTTTACGAAGAAAACACTTAGAATTTTCAGACTTGTTTCATACAATGATACATGTCATGTGTGCAGTGTGTCAAGTGGCGTCCGTATACTCTTTCCCATAGTCTTGTCTTTTCCTTCCTTTAGGGTTACACAAACAATAAACTGTATCCAAAACCGTTTAACCCTTTTCGTGAAAAACAAAACACTGTTACGGACGCAGTTTCGTCATGCATGTTTGTCATGTCCGTTCAAAAGGATTATGATGGGAACACACTGTCTTAACATTCCCATGACATGCCTGAACACGATGTAAGCCTTGACAGTATGAATTTTTTATCGTATATTACGATCGAAGAGATCAACAAAATGACTTTTTCTATGCGTCTGAGAGAGTATGCCTCCACAGGCGTACTGCAAGTTCAAAGCTATTTACGAAAAAAGGGCTAAATCGGGCAATATTCAAGGTTACCTTTTTCACGCAGAAAAAAATCTTAGCTCAGTCGCTATCATGACCACACGAAATGCCATGACATGCAGTTCATTAAAACAAGTATTTTATGCCTGGGAAAAATGCTGTTTTTAAAATATATGTGAAGGAAGTCATACCAAAGACAAAAATGTGATATTCCTGTTAAAACTAACACCAAACTTTGACATTTCGTAACTTTTAATCAAAACTATCTAGAAAGTTACTTTTTTCAGCAAATTCTTTTTTTCATGAATAATGCATCATTAGGGTATGGAAATCTTTTCATGAATACTACGAAATGGCTATTTTATTGGTGGATACGACAACGGATGACTCATCAAGATCAAAATTGCATATTCATAAGCAAATAATGACCGCGTCATCAATGAAATTTGACATGCACGCGCAAACTCAGTCGCGTCGCCATTGGAACGTGCATGAAAGGGACTGGTTGAATATTTTTCAGCAGGCTGTTTTGTGCCGAGTGGGAAATTTAAAGGAAAGGTCAAGTGCACGGCAACTGCTCTGAATGCTATACGAAGTCCACGTAGACCCCAACATACATGTACAATACATGTACGGTACGTCCACGTCGGCGCAGCCGCATGGACCACGCAGCCCGAAAATTCTCAGGATGTATTACTTTTTATTAATAACTCACAACCCACGCGTGTGACTGCTAGAAACGTTCGCCTTGCGTGTGTATATGTACAGTGCGTGTATGCGAACAGCTACAACCACAACATGGTCATGTGCATTATACATATATAACCCTGACTTGGACCGCCATCTTTCATAAGCTTTTCGTGCTTGGATTCACGAGTCAATATGAGCGAAGTGACATAGATATTTCTTCCCAACAAACATCTGTTTTTATCTCTAAGGATTTATCGAATGTTACTCCGCTAAAAAATAAACGAAATGAATATAACAAACAATTAATAAACCAGTGGGAACTGGGAAAGACCGTCGTTTCGTTCACTCAAATGTTTGCTCAAAGCTGCACTTGGCTTCTTGCGTTTACTCCAAACTTGTTGAAGGCCTCAAGCATTTATTTTCAATCTGTCCTCCGCTGAATATATAACTCAGTGAACGGGCTGTCGGCCTACATCATGTTCAATTGTGCTTCTTTGCTCTTCTCCCAAAATGAGACAAATTATTTTTCTTGGGGTACTGAAAGAAGTATTATTAGTTTTTTTCTGCCTTCCTGTATGAGTGTCCTTTGACAGAAATATCGAGGCCAAAGATGACGAACGTCAGGCCAAACAGTCCCTGACTTAACTAGCGTTGACTTTGCGCGGCCGACCCATTATTATATACGGGGTAGAGCAATTGTCGAGAAGCCTCACGGTTTACCCGAGCTCTACATGGCAAGCATTAGTGCAGGGTTTGGCATCACACTCTCCAACAAATACATGTTCACGTATGTGCAGTATGTCTGTAGTACATGTACACAAAAGGTTGCCGCGGACGTCATGTGGCAGTGAGCTGGTCCGTTACGCTAGCCAGTGCCCCTAACCCCAACCCAATACAGTGGGTGCTTTAAACCCTAAAAAATAAAACAGCCGTCTTTAGAGGAAAATATATTGGGTCATCAAAGAATTTGGCTATATATGCCTTGTACAAGATGTTTAAAACTATAAGAACTAGTGACAATGTCACAAAAATGTTGAGAGAAAAGTTTGTTGGACTGTCACTCATGCCCATGCTTGAAAGACCAAGTGAAAACAACTGTTGTGTCGGCTGCATCATAGACCGCAAGGAGGAAAAAAAACTCTCTCCTCGAGGTCTGTGGCCGGTTGGACCATGGTGGCATCTACGCATGGTGCCCTTAACAAGCCTTAATTAATGCACTGGCCTGTTCTGTTGATGGGTTGTCTTTTTCGTTTCGGTCATTCAAAGAATTTTCTTACAGGTCGTTGGATTTGAAATTGGGCGCTAAGTAGTACGGCTGGACCTTCAATTTTGGCACTCAAACAAGGAACTTACATATTTCCAGTATTATACGTATTTGAGGAATTAATCATTTTCTAGTGCACTTTATCTTTGCAGCTGATCTGCGACGTCCATGAAGTGATCAACTATTTCTTTTAACCATTTCATATTGTTCTCGTTAGGTTAAACGAAGGTGAAAATCTTTCCCTTTTGCTCTTTTTGTCGAATTCACTTCTTTCTTTGTGGTTTGGTTTGATCATTGAACTCGTATGTAGCTCGTTAATCAAACTGTAACTTTTCACGTGGTCATTCTTTCTCCAGTTTTGCATCTCCAATAACATGTTTTCAAAAGTTTTCCTTTTCATTAGCTGTTTCGGCAATTTTGCCGAAACAGTATTGTTTTTAGCTCCACTTTGTACACAGATTGCACACAGTTTTTGGACTGTCCTATATCAGGCTATAGGGGCGCTATTGCAGAATTACGGTCACACCTGCCTGGGCTTTCAATTTTCAACGAACTGTCCCATATTGAACCATGGATGGCGTTGTTGCACAACATAGGGTTTGTGCACACATTGTTCCGCATAATGCGTGAGCAGTCCTCAACTTCGACCGTGAATTACTACCAGGACGAAAAAGAAATCAGACTAAATTTTCCCTTCCGTTCGATCGCAAATATACCCAAGTGTCCAAATATTAAATAATATTTCATAAGTTTGTCCCAGTTTAGACGAAAATCACGTGACATGAAATTAAAGGAGCAGTTTTCCTGCACACCTGTTTCTAGCCCATTGACTTTGTACACGTTTATGAGCGACAATTGCGAGATTTATTGCAAAGGGATGAAGTCATATTGACGTCATTGCCTTATTTTATATTCATTTGTCAATATTTCATTTTTCCCCATAGGATTTGTACACGTTTTTCTACATAACACAACTGAACAAGTAGTCTTTAACTTTGACGCAAGATTACTATCAGAACGAAAGTGAAATCGGGTACTTTACGCCCTGTTATTTTATTTGAAATGTGTCTAAGAGTCCGAATATGAAGTAATATTTCATAAAAATTGTTCAGTTTAAGAGCAAATCACGTCACATGAACTTAAAGGAGCAGTGTTTCTGCAAAAAAGTTTATAGCCCATTGACTTTTTACACGTTTTTCAGCGACAATTTCGGTAACTTTGCAGTGTTTGATCGTTCCCAACGTAAAAGCCAACAAAGACCCTGATGCAAGATTTAATTGCAAAGGGATGACGTCTTGATGACATCATCACCTTATCTTATATTAATTTTTGAATATTTAATTTTTACCCATAGGTTTTGTACACGTTGTTTTACTGAACACAAGTGAACAGGGAGTCTTTAACTTCGGCGCAAGATTACTATAAGAACGAAGTAGAAACTGGGTTCTTTACTCCGTGTTATTTTATTTGAATTATGCCTAAGAGTCTGAATGTGAAGTAATATTTCATAGAAATTGTTCCGGTTAAGCGCAAATCACGTGACACAAACTTAAAGGAGCAGTGTTTCTCCAAATGAGGTTTTTTGCCCATTAACTTTGTACACGT